ACAACAAAATAACTAAAATAGGTATGCTAGGTTTTTTAATATGTAATTTCGTCCCAAATTTGAACTTAAAATGTCTGTAAAAAATAACTGTGCTCATATTTTTTTAGATTTTTTGGCTACAGTATGAACTATTTATAAGAATCTTTTTTTTAAACTTTCAATTCTTAACTATAAAAACTGAACATTTTATAATTTTTAATAAATTTTGTCAAAATGCGATCTTTAAATGCTTATAAAAAAAAATTGTGCCATGTATTTTTAATATTTTTCAATTGCTATTGTAACAATATATCAGGAGCCTTGTATTAATTTTTTACACTTTTTGGCCCCACCGATAAAACTTTATTGATATTTATAGAAAAAAAAACTAAAAAAATTGAAAACTGAAAATGTCCGTAGACGGCTCAAAAAGAGTTAAAATATTTTGAAAATTGTATGGTGTATAGGAAATGCTAATATAAACATTCAGTGAAATTTTCATGTGGTTACGGTGTGTAACCGTATAAACATACGTCATTGTAATTAATAAATTATAAAATGTTCAGTTTTTATAGTTAAAGTTTAAAAAAAAGATTCTTATAAATAGTTCATACTGTAGCCAAAAAATCTAAAAAAATATGAGCACAGTTATTTTTTACAGACATTTTAAATTCAAATTTGGACGAAATCACATAATAAAAAACCTAGAATAACTATTTTAGTTATTTTGTTGTGATTGTATAATATTATTCGTGGGTACTTGAAACTTCTAAAGTATACTACTATATTATATATCTATGATATTATCAGGGTTTGTTGTTGGTGTATGACGCGTTGTAAGTACCTAATGGATATCGTGATTTGATTAATTTGGAATTCATTATAGGTCAATTTTTTTTAATACCATAGATAAGTATATAATATGTCTTATACCTAGAAGGTCATACCGTCCCTGCTCAGAATCGTTTTTCTTATACAATGATATAATATCATTGAATTCAAATGTAATATCATCCATTATACAGTGACCTATTTGTAACCTACTGTACAGCAGAGCACCATTTTGTTAGATGAATTTAATTTGTTTATCCTATATCTGTATCTCAGATAAAATTTGGTGTTGTTATCTTTATCTTCATCCAGATGATTTTTTTGCTATCTGTTGCTAACACTTTCCTTATCGTCATTGTTCCGTGACAAAAATAAATATAAAACACAGTTGTTTCCGGAGTCGGTATGACGAACGATTTCGCTAATAGCAGTTGTGTTCTACATTTCGTTAGTGTCGTTTTCGTCCAAAGTGAGTTTCTATATTGTACAAAGTGTTAGACCTATTTATTTAAAAATGCCGAAAATTAATTCCAAATCGTTGAGACTTCATAATATTTTGTTTTAAACATTGATTATGCAGTGCAATGCCCAATTACTATAGGTGTGTTTCCAAATCATTAAATTCTTAGTTAGTACTTGATTTCTAATATCTACCCATGCATATTATTTTCAGATTAACCAACAATTCTCCAACAGTTCTTATTAAAGTTTTAAGAATAAGAATAATTATTTTATATCTATATATTCTTAATTTTTAATAAACAAAATAAGTTTTGAATACAAATTTTATTGATGCATATTTTTAACAAATTATAAGCATATTTTTATACTTTTTACAGCATTATTGCATGCATATTTTTAAATTTTTCGGAGCATAAACATCCGCTCCCTAATCATGAACATATTTTAATCTATAGATATAGGTAGTATGGGTAGTTTTATAAAAGTTAAATTAACTGGCAAATACTCGATAAAGTATTTAGCAATATCAATGCACAATCTTCAGAAAATCTTATAGATTTTTACCGTCAATGCGCTTATGTCGTGTATAAAACTAGCAAATCAATTGAAAATTAAACACTATAAAGACATTTATGAGTGAAAAGCAGATTTATAAGTAAAAAGGGGGAAAAAAATACTTTCATCATCTTACGTATTAAATTATTTAAATGACACACTTTTATTTAAAAATTATATCTCCAATATTAATATTTAAAAAAAAAAGGGTTTTGCCTTCACATCTGAACCTTAGTTATCTGCAGTTTGGTACATAATCGAATAATTGGTAGACGTTGGTAATACTTAGGTACATCGTACATAATATTATTATTATTATTATTATTATTATTATTATTATTATGGTTTAATAGTCTATATATTATGTGTATTGGGAAAACTTTTAGGGCATTTTTTCTAGTAAAAATGTGTTTACGAATGACTTTATAATTATATAGAAAAATAATTGGAATAGGTATATATAGGTATATATAGGTAAAACTTTCTTCCGAACGGAGAGATAAATGTTTTGGTTTTACAGTCATGTGTGTGTGTTTTTTTTTTCTGAAGACATATTTTATACGTGTATATTGTATAGTAAATAAAATAAATTGTCAGGTATTTTTCAAATTAATCAGGAAACGAAAGAAATAAACATTGTGATTTTTTAAGTATCCTCATTGCTTTATGTTTATGCATATTATATTTAAATTCTGATTTTTGGAATTTTTAAATAAATTTGAAGACGATATTTTGGAATGTATGAGATAAACAATACCATTTAAGGCGATAATCCCGTTACACTACAAAACTTCTGTTTTTCCGAAAACATTTTTCACTTTAATTATTGAGCAGATATTTTTTTTAAAGAATTCTGATTCATCAAAATTAAAATTCAGATGAGCTTATAGTTCTCGAACTATGTCACTTTGTGTACTAAGGATAATAATATGTCTATGACAACGGCTTAAGTAAATATGTGGCCATAGATGATCCTAAAATGTCTGTTAGTAAGTACTATTCGTCTATCAATATATACGAGTAATTTGTACAAATTATCCAATAAAATGTATTGCAATTACATAAATATATTATAATAGTTAAAATTTTTGTAAGCCATTTTTTAAGGATTATTATCCTTAGCACAAACTTTTAAATAACTCAAAAACTACTCGTTAGAATTTTAAAATAGATACATCAAAATGTTCACGAAAATCATTCGGTAAATAGATTACAGTAAACAGGGAGGTTCTCATTTGAAAAATAGAAATTTGTATCGCCACAGGACACTCCTTAAGGTTAGTACCAAAAAATATCAGCAAATAAAAACATGGTCTTTAGGTATGATTAAAAGTTCTAAAAATCAGAATTTGAATAAATATTCTATTAGGAAATTCTATAAGGAAAAAATGGGAGTGAGCAATGAAAAAGATCGTCCTGTAAATTATAATATATTAAAAATGAGAATATTTGAGCAAAACTAATTATTGTTTACAAGATTTACAAATCCAATTCCCGACAGTACAATTTTACTGATAATAACAATTATACCCACAAATAATTGTATTCTAGGGGGGGGGGTTAACTCCTAACCCCCCTCTGTTTATGTCACTGCCCATATACAAGGGCTGGCGTTATTTCAAATTTTGATACTGGTATCCGATATTTACTTATTACCGGTATCTACGGTATTACCGGTTATACGGTATCTTCCGGAATTACCGAAAATGTCGGGAGATTGTAAATTCCGCCCGAAATGAACAGGTAAAAACAAGGTACATGTAAATTCCGCCCGAAAAAATATACAGGTACAAAAATAGTTCCGCCCGGAAAAATAAATATTTTTAAACTAAGCGTTCCGTGACTGTAGTACTGTACGACGCGACCGTACTTTCGCGACGCGGCGCGTGTTATAACTTATAGTATTGGTATTTGGTAAGTCACAAAATGTTCGAACACGGAACAATCGCATCTCAAATATTTACTTTTATAATTATTACTATTTTAACAATTTTTAAAATTGTATATGCTATACAATATACACGACTTATAGTAATATGTGCTAATTATTGATGATGATTTTATTTTGACTAGTATTTATTATTATAATTTTTACTATTTTACGATTTTTAATACTTTTATATATATTGTGCTAATTATTGATTATGATAATTTTACTATAATATTATGATTGTTATATTTTCTTTTATAATTATTACTATGATAAATACAATAATATGATTAATAAGACACATTCAGAAATGTGTTTATTAACAGTAAGTAATAAATGTATTCTTTATTAACCTATTATACCTATAAGGTTTTGATTGAAAAATTCAAAAAAAAGTAACTTTAAACTTTTAAACATCGTTAAGTAATAAGAACTTTTTACTTATACATTTTTCCGGGCGGAATTTACATGTATGTTTCTTTACCTGTATTTTTTTTCGGGCGGAATTTACATGTACCTTATTTTACCTGTAGTTCATTTTGGGCGGAATTTACCATTTTCGGGCGGAATTTACATGCTCCCAAAATATCGTACCTTTGTAATTATCAAATATACCATGCCCGGAAATTGCATTAGTTTTTCCAAGTTTCCAACCTAGGATAGGACTATTATATTACATCGTTACGATCATATAAAAATAATAAACAATAAAAGTAGATAAGTATACGGTATTTTCGGTAACATCGGTAATTACCGACTCACGGTATACCTACCGGTATTTTAAAATACCAGATATCGGTGTTTTTTAAATACCTAATGGTAGTTACCGGTATACCGAACATACCACCAGCCCTACTATAAACGTAATATATTATGTTTGGGGGGACATAATTATTTAAACTGTAAGTTCAACATTATACTTAATTTTTATAATTAGTTGAACGTCAACATGTTCACATGACCGAAATATAGCCACTTGTTTGACCTACTTACCAACACGATTCTTACCTGACATTTAAATTATCAATATTCAGTAGCTGGCTAATAATAAAATATGCTTGCACTTCCAAAATGAGTGTAGCTCATACTACGCAACCGTACAAATAATCATAACATAATGTTTAACTAAATTAAATTTTTTATAAAATTACTGTTTTTACTATCTTAAAATTTAATCGTACATTATTACTGAAATTTAAACAAAAAAATTTTAAGTAACCAAATTCTACATCAAACACTTGCAATGTCTCAAGTAAAAGAATGTCTACAGAGATCATACGAAGTACGAAAATACAAATAATATTTTAATAATACTATCGCGACATAATTTATTTGTGTGGTATGTAAATAAAAAATTAACAAAACTATACCTTCATTATAGTGTTCGAAAGTACCAAATGGCATTCCCAAAGCCTGTTTGCAGAAAGTTGAAAAAAAAAATTGCGAATTTCAAAAGGCAAAGACTTGCCAGACTCTAAAGGTAACAAATAAACCATTTTAAAAATTACCCAAATGTATTTATTTATATGAGCGATAGACTTATCGGCTTTGTATATTTTTGATCAACGGAATTCTAAATAGGCAATAATGAATAAGCTATAGGTAACGTTTTCAGAAAACTATTCAACTTTTGATAGTTTGTATTATGAAAGCACCTACATTTCGGTTTAATAATCAAAAGCGCATTGCGGACCATTACCATCATGGCGTTTTGTGTATAAATGTCTTTTGGCAAGTAAAAACCATACTTTGGGAAACCATAATTTACATTTTTTAAATTCGAATATCTTCGCTGGTAATAATTAATTAAAATTTGTTTAACGGTACCTATAGATTGTTTTGAAACTACCTTCTTGATATTATAACCTATGAAAAAAAATTATTAAAAAAGTCGAAATTATGCGACAGGGGCATATGTTATTGGTACTTTTAAAATCATCTGGCAGTGAAAGGGTTAAATAAAGAACGAGACAAGTGAAATAAAAAATGTTAAAACTAGAATATTAGGTGGTACATACGTTACCGGTAAAGACTTAAATTGAAGGGCAAAAATGTAAAACTTCGTATTGCCAAAAATCAAAATGTTCACAAATTAAGAAAAACTTTATCACGTCCTATCTATGACATGAATTAACACTTGCAATTGGTGTAATCAAATATAAATAATGAAAAAAAAAACGATTAATAAAATCAATCTATTTTGAGTTTAAAACTTAATTTCAATACTTTAAAAAAGTGTTTATAGGCCAAAACGTGGTATTGCAGGTTTTGGAAAGGTAATGGAAATAGCACGTTTTGAAGAAAAATTTAACATTGGCAATACCACGTTTTGCAATGACATTAAATGTGACAATACGACGTTATGCATTGAACATCAGTTTTAAAATCGATTTTATTCACAAAGGTAATCGACATAATTTATTTCTGACTACAAAATCGAATTCCTCACATTTTTTTTCCATACATTTTCGAAATTTTGGCAATACCACGTTTTGGATTTTCGCCCTTCAATTATTAAGGAATTTATGTTAATCACTAGTCAATAACGTTATTTTCGATTAAATTAGACAGTAGGTATACGATATATTGACCAGGAAATAACTCTAATGTCCATTATTTTCAGGCAATGATGTATTTAGAAATATTTTCTAGGTAATGACGATAACTCCGGGCTTTTTTAGACATATTATATTTGATAAAAATGTTAAATCAATTCAAATCAAAATAGTATTGTAAACTGGTTGTTAGGTGAACTCTAATTTGTAGGTACTTATCATAAGTCAACAAACTTATCAACAAAATTTACTCCTCTAATATAGGTACTCTATATATTATTATGTAGTTTATATAATATTTTCTAAGTCTGATTAATAACAGCATTGATACCTACAGGTGTCCAGGGGGGCTTTGTGGTTAGTATTTGGAAAAAAGCCCCAGAAAAAATTACTAAATACTAATAATTACGACATTTTCTCTATAGTTAATGAATTAATACAAAATTACCTACCTAAATACCTAGTATAACTAGTAAGTATAATGTAGTAAAATAAATTAGGTGCAATTATATGTAAAAGCTAAATAGTAATACGATTTTTAACTTGGGTAAGTACCATAGTTATAGGTACCTACCATATATATTATAATTAAGTACCAGACATTGTCTATTTGAATATTTTCTGTTTTTATTTCTATTTCATAATAATATGATGGTTTTAAAATGTTTTAATAATATTATTATATTATACAATCACATAAATATATTATTTAGTTAATGAAAAACAATATTTAGTGTACCTATACGTACGCTAACGTTTTCAACTTTTAGTGATCGCTTAATTCTTATACTGTTATTGATTTTCAGAATCGGTTCAAGTACGTGCAGCCTTGTCGACGGACTTTGTGCAAACCAACCTCGGTAAGTACACCTCGTAATCCATATCTAAATTATAGGTACCTTGTCCCGAATATTGGTACCTACCTGTTGAATATTCGGTATTCACGGTGGACACTCGTCTGCGCACACTTTAATATTTTTTTTTTTTGGAATTTATAACAACTCGTTTGCGCACAAAAATTTGAACAATGAAAACCAACTGACAGCTTGTATGTACAGTTTTGGGTGTACAATGTGTCAGTGTGTGGGCTTGGTTTTGCTCAAATGAGCTGTAGTCGTCCTATATATTATATTTAGATGGTATATTATCAACCATTTCAGTATAAAATTATTTTGAAAATACAATCGGTAACGTCACAAATTAATTTTGTGCGTAACCGTTCGAATGGAAATTCAGTGCTTGAATTGTGGGAGGACACCGGGAGACATTAGCGCCCCCTTATAATCATATCATTATCAATAAGACATTTAAAATTTTAGGTAAGCACATTTTTTTTTGCACTTATCAATCCCCTTCTATTTTATTTCCAACGCAAGCACTGTGGAAGTGTATATCGTATGTGAAATCCTGAATAGACACCGTAGACACCGTAAGGACAACGTGATTAGTAATATTATTTATATATAGGTAATATAATATTATACATATTAGTTGGACACTAATAACATATAATAACAACTTTTACGTATTATAGCTTACAGTAAAGGTATGCAATATAAATATAGGTAGGTACCCCCCCCCCCCAGTTGAAAGTTCACGAATTTTTTATTTTACATGTTTTCGCATTATTTTATATATTGGTGGAACGTTAAAATACCTACTCCACTGTAAAATCATTATTCACAGCAAAAGGATTATTATATAATAATATTCTCAATTTCTATTTTTATTTTAAGTATTCAAAATTAAAATAGAAAGTACATAAGCTAAAAAGAATTATTAAAGTATTTGAAAATTAGTATTTGATTTTAAATGCAGATACCTACTATATGTATTTGAGTGCTTAAAAAGTATTTGAAACTTAGTAGTAACTTAGTACTCGAGTACTTTACAACACTGCCTGATCCCATATATCGGTAACCACCTGTTGACATTCCACATTCCTCCTTAGATGTTCTATATGATTAATAATAATAATGATATCAACCATTTCGATGTCTAAAATTGCTTTCAAAATACAATTGGTAACGTGAATATTGGCACCTTTGGAATTTTTAACAATAGGAATTTTCTTCAACTTTAAATGTGTTACATGATTAAAGTTTATATTATATTATTATAATAATATGTAGTCTATAATATGAAGTTTAACAATCAGCCATGAATAGGGCTATTATTGTATACCCGACAACCTATACCTACCATGGTATATTAATGTTTTCTATCTATAATTCATGTTTCGATAATTTATTATTTATACCTATCGTCGATTCGTATTTTTAGTATTTTTATATCTTTATAAGAGCTGGTCTCGGATAAATTGAATGTAAATCACTAAATATTGTAAATATTTTACTTTATTAGGTAGGTACATATAATTTATTAATCATTACCTGACGCGTATTCGAATGGTTTCGGGTTTATATACCTAAAATTATATACCTTAACCAGTCTGTGGTTTATTTGTTATGAATTTATATTTTTACCTATGTACAGCAACCGGCCTTGTGTAAAACGCCGTTCACCGACGACACCGTATACACTCATTCGTACTACGAACATGACGTGTGTGAAAATCGGCAGAAACCCTTCACGCACAAGGATCACTTGGTCATGGCCGGAAAATTTCAAGACCAAACGTCTCAGAGGGTTAGTAAAGTGTTTATTTGTTTATTTATGATTAAGTCCAGGAAGAGTATTAAAATCAAAAAGATCTCAAAACATGCAAAATAATGTTTTTAGTAATTTCAGTCTTCTGAATTATGAAACAAATGTTTAAGGTCACCCTTTCATCTCCTGAGTATTTCATAAGAAATATGAAAATTCTATAAGTTCCAAAGACTGGTATATTAATAATACGTTTAAATCAGTTGTTGTGGCTAATTCTAATGAGGGAATCTATGGGACAATAGGGGTGGGGGAATATACCATCTCCTCCACAATCCCTAAACACATAACTGGTTAGAAGCAGCTCTTCGATATAAAAACGATAATTTTCATTGCGACAACTAACCACGTGGTCCCCTCCCCTAACAATAATATTATAGATCAAAATAAAATATATTTTACGAGGTATGTGTAGAAAGTAAGAGTAGATAAATGATTTTTGTGGGTTCCAAAAATTGTATTAAAAAAAAAAAATTGCTTGGTTACATTAGTACAGATGTTCCCAATTAGTATTAAGTCACGGATTCCTAGCTAAAACTTAAACTGGTCCTAGGAAACTTTTTTTTGTAAATACTTACTTTTAAATTTGAATAAATTGATTATTTACCTTTTTTACGAGTTTCGATGGTCCAAAAATAGCCGAATTTCAAACGACTACAAATTTAATAATTTCACCAAAGTTAAATTAAAATTAAAAATCGCCACTATTCTACACAACCGTCATGGACACACGTGCACCACCAATTGGGAACCACTAAATAATTAGTATGCGGGGAATCATAATTTTTTTAACGGCCGCTTTGCAGAAGTCTACCGTCTCCTTCTTCGTCCTCTTGTCGAACCTCCCCCCCTCGTTTGACTCTTCATTGGTCTGGCATTTATTTCGACTTATGCGCATCTCCAGGGACGTAGTAAATAGATTGTACTCTGAACGAGCCAGGTCTAGGGAATGCTGTGGGTAGTCCAATACCTCCCATCCAAATGAGTCTGACAGGCAACAGTTGCTTCTCAACATGTGCCCTGGGGGGGGGGGGGGGTTGTCGTATGACCAATCGTCTCTCACAGATCTTTAATAATAATATTATATATTATGTCAAATGTTTGCATTAGATGAGTTATCCGGTACAGTGTATATCGACGGTACAGAAAGTCGTGCCCAAGGACAGTTGTCTGGGGTTCGAGGGACCGATGCGGTTGACCACCACCCAGAAACACGATTATTACGTGCCTTGCAGCAACGACGGCTACGGACGTGGCAAGAAATTCGTACAGCCCGACAACCTGGTGGTCGGTTCTGACTGTCCGATGTCGAGGCTCACCACGAGCTACTGTTCGTATCAGCCTGTGTGCGGGAAGCGAGAGAACAATTTTAAACCGAACAAATGGTAAGCGCCTAACTCAGTGGTTTTCAAACTTTTATTGAACTCTGCACACCGTGCTCCACAAAAAATTTTCACGGCACACTGACCTCTTGTTTTTTGCACTAAATCATTAGATGAACAAAATTATTTTGAATGATAATTATATAAGTAAGTTAAAATAGAAATGAGTGCTTGACGAATGACGACTGGCTAACAAATTTTCATTAATTTTATTTTTATAATTTTATTCTTGGACGAATAGTTGAACTTTCCGAAAGTTCACTGCACACTCAGTGAATTCTCGAGGCACACCAGGGTGAAAACCACTGGTCTAAATTGACGTCAAATTTCAGTTTTTTTTTTTTTATAAAAGTGGGCAAATGTTCATTGAACATGTACAACTGTAAAACAATTTCGTAAAACTGAAAAAAAATTGACTACCTAATATAAATATAAAACTAATAAAAACTAACAAATATAAATAAATAAATATAATTCACATCAGCATAATTTTAAATTCTATGTTTGAATTGTTACATTGATTATTTTGGTCCAAATTAAATAAATATAATACCAAAGTACTTACTATACTTAGTTATACATTAAGTATAGGTAATAAATAATAACAATAAGGGTTCACGCAAATTGCAATTATTAAATTAAATATTTAGATATTTAAAAATAAAAATGCATTATTAATTAATACTTTAAAAAGTATATAATAATAAAATGAAATAATTTTAATTCCAATAAAAAATGTAATAAAAACATCATTAAATACCTATGTTAGATTTCTTAATCAAAGTTTTGTGAACTAAGTTACATTTTCTGTTAACCACAAATTATGGTGGAATTATAGTCTGTTTTACTACTAAATTTTATTATTCGTTGCATTCTTTAATTGAAGTACCTATGTTACAAGAAATAATGTGTTTGTATATAATAAAAAAAAAAAAAAATGTAATATAATACTTACTTTTTGCCATGGTTAGAAGTGGTTTGGATTTTGGGGCACCGAACATTATCGTTCAATAATTATTGTAATATTATTCAAAGGAGATGCGATTTTAATAATTATCTGAGGTACTACCGGCTTTTAAAATTTTTCGAAAACCACCGAAAATTCGTTGGCCACTAACTGTCTAATTTGGACGTCGGTCTGGGCGTCAACCTTTGGAGGTAGGACGAGGTCGGATTTCGAAATATTTTTTTAAAATTTTTTTTTAGTTCAATCTGTTTGTCACTTTTATATATATGCGTGTAAATGAGTACCTATTATGCAAAAATCTATTATGCAAAAATGTTATTCTATTAAAAGTTATCTCTTTGTGTTCTGAAAGATAAAATTTGAACAAATATCATTCTTAAAAATGTTCAATCCTATCCTATACGTAGTATGAAAGCACGTGTTTTAAATTGAGAATATTTACTTCAAATTCAACATTATCTATATATTTCTAAGCTCATATATGTTTTCACATCTTCCGAGGGTCGTCTGTGACACTTTCTGTTTAGTTTTTTTTTTTTATTTTGACTTAATGTACCCAACCGCACGTATAAAGAGCACGAAAACAGTTAGAGGAGAGTGGTCCAAGTTGAGACGAATGTCATTGTATTATTGTATCTCATTAAAGATAGGAAAGTGGTAGGACATTTTCTAACATTTTATCGTAATGAGATATATGGCTGATTTTAAATCAACGATTTTGTCTCATTCAAAACCATTTGATTTTTTTTAAATTTTCGTGACTACTAGTCACACTATACCGTAGCCATAGTGATTTGTTTAATACATAGTATAGACAATATTTCGAGTTAGAGGATATAATTATATCATACATACAAATTAATTAACAATATTAAAAACTAAAACAAAAATATTTAGAAAATTTAGAAAAAACTGATTTATCTCAATATTTTGAACTGTTAGGGTACTATCGGAAACCGATAAAAACACGATTATCCTAACCTAACCTCCAGACTTCAACTGTTATCTATTCTATATTAACCATAACTAAAATTATTTCCCTTGTCTCATTGATGATCATGTCTCGCCCTAAACCATTACCCCCCCACACACGGGACAATTTATTATTATAGTGCCACCAAACGACGCATCGTTAAAAATCCTATAAAAGTTATACACGTTTATGTACAAACCCGAAATATCGAAAAAACTTACTTGTACCCATTATCGCCAAAACCGTCCGTTGTATATATTTTTTTCTGCTTGAACGAATGACGAACGCTGCATCAGTTCTTCTGAAGTTCGTTGACTTCGAATCAATACGAAAGGTGAAATTAGTGGGTATTATAAAGACATTAAAATAGATATATGTGTTTGGCTTCGCAATATTATTTACGCACCTTGTGTCGTGATTATAATTTTGGCAACGGACTTTGCAAGTCCTAAGGACCAGGGCTACCGTAGGGTTTAAATGAAAACCTATTTTGACGTGCCAATATTTATATTCGTATTAAATCATTATAGTTATACCGTTCCCGTGGACAAAATGGACCTAAACACGACTCACAGGTCTAGCTACAAGGTAACAGAACAACAGGAAAAAATCCAAACACCGTGGGCTGCAAAACTAGGCTATTGCAAACCGGAAAACTCTATGGAACAATGTACGATGTACAACTACAGGTAAAGTTTTTTTTTTTTTTTATAATTCATTAACTCATTTAGTACCTACGAATACAACTTACTGCAACATGTGCAAATACTAACTCATTGTCATAATACATTTATATTGTTTTCTAACGTAATTCAAAGAAAATTAAATGAAAAACACTTCATATCGACTAAAATAATAAACATTGAGTGGGTAAACAAAACTAATATGATGGTTAATAGAGGGTACCTATATATCAAAACTAACAAAAAATCTATTATAACGATAAAAGTATTTTTACTTCATATAAGCCCATGGAAATCAAAAATGTTCAACTTACCATAATATTAAACGTTTAAAAAATATAACAAGGCATTTGGTATGTATTTTTCGAAATGATGAGTGTTTAATGTTGAAATTATCACGCTATATACAAAAATTATTAACTTTAGCCTAAAACACAAACAATTGACAATAATCAGCTGTAATAAATATTGATAGGTATACCATTAAAATAATGTAATTTTATTTAGTTACAAGGAACCGGGTGCGTACATGTATAAGGATGATTGTGGTGATACTGTTAATATCATGGCGGACAGTGATTTAGGTAAGATAATAGATATTATTTGAATGGTAATTATTATCATACAAACAAATGAATAATATCAAACTTTTTTCTAGCCAAAAACTGTTGTCCGTTCACGTGTCTGGCTGACGGTGTAGATAGTGAATTTAAATCAACATTTACGAAAGCACATCATTTTGGTGATTAGACTTTGAAACCGTTACGGCCATGGTTTGCTATACACAAACAAACACAAGATTTTTAAACTATTCTAAATATATCATCACGACGGGTGGTCCTGTGTGGCGGAGATCGCTAATATTGACTTCAGTGTGACACTTAGATGGAAAACATTTAAAACAAATACAGATGGAAAATTTTACTCACTACTGTGATCTTTAAAATTTAAATAAATTAACAAATTTTTTTACAAAGAACATGGGTACCTATGTGGTTTGTTTTTTTATGATTAAAATTTAATATTAATATTAATTTTAAATTTAAGATTAATTGTAATCTTAACTAATTACATATAGGTTACCTAACGGATTATACAATGGTTTATTTTGTAGCACTCTCATAGATATATTTTGATTTTTGATTATTTTAGTGGATATAAAAATAGATTATTTGATTAGATAGTCATAATCCAAAATATTTTTATTTACATATTGTAAAAACACCATTTATACTACATAATTATATACTTCAGTAATTGTTTATTTTATTTAAATACTAGCTGACCCGGCAATAACGTCGTTTTGCCATATAAATAATTTCTTAGTAATTTCTAGTGTAGACAAAAAATAGCTTACTTATTGGAAGTATGTATGTATGTTAGAATGTGTATATTGTATGTATGTAAGAATGTGGTATATGCTTGAATTTTAAAAACATAAATCAACAACAAAATCTTACAGGAACTCAACATAATTTTTAAATCTAAAATATAAAATTCTCGTGTCACAGTATTCGTTGCCATACATATTGTTTATGCATCAAGTTTAGTAACGTTGACAATTGTACATAATGTATGTTTTGTACGGTGAGCAATGCCAATAAAACGCAAAGGGGCTGATTAAAAGGAAAAATTATTAAATTACTAAAATGGCTATTAAAAAATAAGGGTTGATCATAGAAGGGTGAAAAGTGAGGATTATATGTATTTTTGTATGTTGTATCTATTATTTTTTTTTTTATATATATATATATATAACCAATACCTTAGCAACCATTTATAAATAATTATTTCTACCGTAAATTTTCAAAATCCCTGTTTGAGCACTTCTTTTATTTTTTCTGGACAACCCTTATCCCTTAGGGGTATGAAAAATATATGTTAGCCGATTCTCATACCTACTGAATATGCACAAGAAATTTCATCAAAATCTGTTAAGCCATTTCGGAGGAGTATGGCAACGAAAACTGTGACACGAGAATTTTATATATTAGATTATATATGGCCAGATAATAGATAATACGGTACTATTAATATCAAATACAGAAGTGGACATTTATATAACCGCTCTACTGTACAGATTATACACGGTATTGGTATTGTAATGTTATTTAATTTCGTTTAAGTTTTCTTTTTATCGAGGTGGCTGTTGTTTTCAAAGTTCAAGCAAATTTTTCAACATTTTACAAACATTAGAATAATTAGAAATTAGAAAATATCTGTTTTTTTCTTATGCATAAGTAATACAGTTCCTGTAATTTTCAAAATAATTGTGAAAAACAAAAAAATAATAAGAAACACTGTCATTTTTACGCAACAACACCACCATTTTGTTTTAATGAACACAAAAACGAATACCTAGTTGTAGACTTATATTTTATAAACAGATAAAATTTTAAAATATTTTGTCTCATTAAGGCTATTTATACATTTGCGATTTGTATAAGCATTTGTTTTCAAATATCGACTAAATTCGAGAAAATCATAAAAATTTGCAAATAGCTTTGTAGATAATTATAATTTATAAAATGTTCAATTTTTAAATCTAGTATTTAAAAATGCAATACAAATTTTATTTTGTGTATTTCTTACTGAAGTCCAAAAATCTTAAAAATGATAAACACCGTTAAAAAAAAAAAAAAAAATTTGTAGTTTAAATTTGGACACGAGTATTTCAATAGATACAAAAAAATCGAATTTAAGACGTAGTTTATGAATTAAATTTAAGTATTTAAGTATAGATGAGCAGGGGAGTGGACCAACATTTTGCGAAGTAACCACGTACCACTCCACTCGGTTCGTCTAAAATTTTAATACTTATAACTCATAAACACATTAAAAATTACTACTGATTCTTATAATTATGTAACAGCTAGTGAACGTCTTGGAATTATTTCAAAAAATATCAATTTGTCCAGAATATAGGAAAATATTTTTATTCATCATTGGGTATATTAAAAAACTGAAAAATTGTAAAAACTATATTAAATACCTATTAACCATAAATGTTTGAAAAAAAATGTGCAACAAACAATTTTATATTTTTTTCTTTCAAAAGTAGGTAATTATTGTTTTGTAATGACATCAAATTATGTAGATAGAACATATTATATTTTCAAAAAATATTTAACTTTTTAAAATTACGTCAGTAGATATACTTAAATGTTTTAGACGCGCTTACACGGGGATTCCCCTCGCACTAATGCTAAATTGTTTGGGTCGCTGAGTATATGATGAGTAATCGTAATTATGATTCGATTTTCAACTTCGGTATCTGTTAAAAAGTGAATCGAACTTATTCTTCGAATAAAAATAGTAATAGTAATAGAATCCGCCAGGCTGGGCAAGTTAAGGTTTTTTTTAACTCAGTCAAGATAAGTTAATATGCAACAATAACAAAAAGTTAAGAGTTGAAAGTTAATTTAACTTTAGGATACATTTTATGGACCAGAGCGGTCTTTTTACGAGCTTAGCATTATTTTCGGACCGGGCCAGGGCTTTTTTTCACAATATTTTTTGGACAAGGCCTGAGGATAAAGTTGATGGACCAGACCGGGCCGAAAATTTACGACAATTGTCTTGCAGGCCTATAGCTGATATACTAAAAGTTATAGTAATGATCTGATATAGGACTGACCCGACGAGAGACGTTGACGGACAAACAGCCACACGAAGAGCAGTCATATTATCATATTAAGTCATATATAGTCACAACTCGCCTAAATTACCAACAGCTTTTAGATTCTGAGTGAAAAGATGAATGTATTGATTTTACAATGATAGGTATTTTTTTATTTATTTTTTTTTTTTTTTTGTGTCTGTCATCACGTTTTAGGACAGAAAAATGCTTAGATTATCTTCGACAGTATCTTTTCTGAAAGGAAAGTGAATCCAGTTGGTACTTTCCAGTAGTGTTCAAAAGCGCAATGAAAAACAAAAGAAAAATTAAGGAAAAAATCGCAAAATCTTTTATCGAAAAAATCGATTTTGGTTTTTGGTACAACTCTTAAACAAATGATCTTAGGTACATGCAATTTTAACTGAAGGTTTATATTAACATTTTCTATACACCATAACATTTTCCAAATACTTTGACTTATTTTGAGTTCTTTACGGACATTTTCAGTTTCCATTTTTTTTTTTAGTGTTTTTTCTATAAACATCAAAAAAATTTATTTGTTGTTTAAAAAAGCTTGAAAATTTAATCGAAGGTTCCTAGTTTATTGTTTCAAAGATGAAAAAAATTAAAAATCCATAGTCACAATTTTTTTTTATAAGCAATTAAAAGTTCTAATATTGACAAAATACGTAAAAATGACAAAAATTTGCAAATTATTTAGAGTTAGGAATTCATAGAATATTTTTTTTTTTATATCTAACATTTGAAAATGTAATACCAGATTCCTCATAAGTTCGTCTACCTTTAACAAACAAAACAATTTCTATGAGAAACTCAAATTAAATTTTTATGAGCGTTTGAAATTCATATTTATACAACATTTGATATTCACTCGATTTCTCATGAAACGATTTTCTTATTTTGTTGTAATTATAAAACGAATGACTTTAGATACTTGAAAATTTCACTGAATGTGTATAATATCAGCATTTTCTATACAACATACAATTTTGAAAATAATTACTATTTTTGAGCTGTTTACCTACGGACATTGTCAGTTTTCAATTTTTTTAGTTTTTTTTTTTTTCTATATAAATATCAATAAAATTTTATTTGTTGGGTGAAAATCGTGAAAATTTAATGCAAGCCTCCTGGTATATTTTTACAATAGCAGTTGAAAAATATTAAAAATACGTAGGCACAATTTGTTTTCTCTGTAAGTAAAATTAGACTTATAATATTTTCAATATAAATTATTATTCATATTTTTATGTAATAATAAACACTAATATATTTTACATCAAAATATATTTTTTCAACGCCTTCCATATTTTAAACTTCAACACGATACGTTGTGAGCACGTTACAGTAATGGCAATTCGTCCGATAATTTGAATTTCGCCTATCGAAATAAAAATTTTAGTTCATTTTAAATTTAATTTTTAACATTTAAATTTGTCGTAGAATTACTTAAGGTTGGTGCGATTTTACGATTAATATTGTTTACATTTTAATGGTGAAGTGTATTCTACAAAATTTTGTATTAACTATTAAGGTCTAAAGAGATACATTATTTCCAAATTTGTAGCATTTACCTTATACCAAATCATTAATTCTTAATTTTAATAGATTGAACTATATTGTTTACCATATACCTAAGATTAAGTGATTTTAATATATTTTCTATTGGTACCTATACTGAATCGAGTAATAGGTTTTTAGTTTTTTTTATAAAAAAAAAAAAATAGAAGGCAGTTGTTTTGGGGTTTGGAAAAAACCCATGTACCTATAGCTTTATTAACTACATCTGCAATATTTTTAATATTATGAACATTAACTTGAAATATTAACAATTAGAGCTGTTAGGGAATATTTGATAAAATAATACTTAAAATTAATTTTACCGGTTCTCAGCAAAAACATAAATACAATATGTAAGTATCAAACTGCAAATTTACACTAATCCTGGGTCTAGAATGAAAAGGTTCTATATCGTTTTCATGAAATTTTCCAGTAGAGCAATTTTAAGGTTTGAGTTCAAATATTTTACCCCTTGAATAACATTTTTAGAAAATTAAAGTTCAAAGGCATGCAGAAACTTGTATAGTTTAATTCACAACATTACAATAAT